AGAGCGAACTCTAGGGTTTGGCTCACTTCAAGGTAGATGAAGGCCACTTCTAGGGTTTTTCTCTCAAGGTGGAGATAAGATGGGTGGTGGCCGAATTTAGCCAAGGGTGACTAAGGATGATATAAAGGCAAAAATGCTCTCTTCATATTCAATTTCTAAAGTATTTACAAGGTGTGGTGCCTAGGGTATTTATAGGAGTGGGAGGCATTTAGGGTGCCAAATGTACACGAAATGAAACCCAAATTAACCCTAGATGCAACTTGGTGGCCAAGGATGGAATCTTTGGGTTTAGTTAGGCTACATCTAGGTGCATGATAAGACCATGCAACCTTTGCCCTCCACTTGGGCCTAAGCCTTTCTAACACCAAAAATAGGTCCAATAGCCACAAAAATATGTCTAGGTTTTTGTTCCCACCCTAATCAAATGCCTTAGCTCAAAAATAAAATCCTATGATCTAAAGCACCCCATAATACAAGGGTAAAATGGGAAATACAAAAGAAAATAAATCCTATGACTAAGATACCCCAAAATACAAGGGTAAAATTGGAAATACAAGTAAAATAAATTCTAAGACTAAAATACCCCAAGATACACGGGTAAAATAGGAAATCAAAGACAAGGAAAAATAGGAATAAATGCTATGCTAATAAAAACTTAGGAGCTAAGGTCCAAAAGTGGTCTCACTCCTCCTATGGTTTTTCAACACTAACCCATTCCTTTTGCTTCCTTCAATACATCACCTCCTGGAGTTCTTGGCCTTAGTGTTATTCCATCATAACCCATGAAGTCTCACTATTTCTTGAAAGAATAATTTAGCAATGTTGCTTGCATCATCCACTTTGTGGCATGGAATAAAATGTGCGATTTTACTAAAACGGTCCACTACCACAAAGATGGAATCCTTGCCTCTTTGTGTTCTAGGCAAACCAAGGATAAAATCCATGGAAATGTCTACCCAAGGAGTCTTGGATATGGGCAAGGGGGTGTATAGTCCATGAGGTTTTGTGGTAGATTTAGCTTGAAGACAAGCTATACAACTACTACAAAATCTTTGAACATCTCTTTTCATATGAGGCCAAAAGAATTTCTCTTTTAAGAGTAAAAGAGTCTTCTCAATCCCAAAATGCCCCATGAGCCCACCCTCATGGCTCTCCTTTACCAAGAGTTTCCTAATAGATCCTTGGGGAATACAAAGTTTATTTTCTTTAAAAAGAAACCCCTCAGAAATATAGTAACCTTGATAAGGCTTTTGAATACGTAAAGAATAAAAGTTAGCAAAATCAAGGTCTTTCTCATACAATTCCTTTATGTCATACAACCCTAGCATTTGAGAACCTAGGATTTTTAACAACACATGTCTTCTTTATAAAGCATCAACCACTACATTTGTAGACCCTTTCTTGTACTTGATGACATAAGGAAATTGCTCAAGAGACTCAACCCATTTGGCATGCATCTTATTTAACTTATGTTGACCCTTCAAGTATTTAAGTGATTCATGATCACTATGAATAACAAATTCCTTGGTCACAAGATAATGTTCCCAAGTTTGAAGGGCTCGAACTAAAGCATATAACTCCTTGTCATAGGTAAGGTAGTTCAAGGCAGCCCCATGAAGTTTTTCACTGAAAATAGGTTATGGGATGGCCACCTTGTAATAACACAGCTCCTATGCCAATACCTGAAGCATCACATTCTAGCTCAAAGGTTTTGCTAAAATCAGGGAGAGCTAGAACAGGTGCTTGAGTGAGTCTTTGCTTAAGTTCTTGAAATGCTAAGTTATGTTTTTCTTGCCAAAGAAAGACCACATCCTTTTTCACTAACTCATTGAGAGATGAAGCTAATGTAGAGAAGTTAGGAACAAAACATCTATAAAAGCTTGCCAATCCATGGAAGCTCCTAACTTCACTCATATTAGTAGGAATAGGCCATTCTTGGATGGCTTTTGATTTTCTCGGGGTCCACATGAACCCCTTTTTTACTCACCATAAATCCTAAGAATATAACATTATCCAAACAAAAAGTGCACTTGTCTACATTGGCAAACAAGTGATTGTCTCTAAGAACAAGTAAGACTTGTCTTAGGTGACCCACATGATCACTTAGACTTTGGCTATAGATTAAGATGTCATCAAAATAAACAACTACAAATCTACCAATGCAATCCCTAAGGGCATGATTCGTTAGCCTCATGAATTTGCTAGGTGCATTAGTAATCCAAAATGGCATTACTAACCATTCATATAATCCAAAATTAGTCTTAAAAGCAGTTTTCCACTCATCAGCTTCCTTGATTTGAATTTAGTTATATCCACTTTTAAGATCTATTTTGGAAAATATGGATGACCCATGCAACTCATCAAGCATGTCATCAAGCCTAGGAATTGGGTGCCTATATTTTATGGTGATGTTGTTGATGGCCCTACAGTCACAACACATCCTCTATTTTCCATCTTTTTCTGGCACCAATAAAATAGGTACAGCACAAGGGCTTAGAATTTTTTGAATCCAACCCTTATCCAACAAATCTTGTACTTGCTTCTCTATCTCTTTTGTTTCTTGAGGGTTTGTCCTATAGGCTGGTCTATTGGGTAGACTAGCCCCAGGCACAAGATCTATTTGATGCTTTATTCCCCTAAAAGGTGGAAGTCCCATAGGGCCTTCACTAGGAAATACATTATCAAATTCAATCAAAAGGTTTTTAACCTCAAGAGGTAGAGAAGTTTCCAAAGACTTTGTGGCAGTGCATGTAAGTGTTCCTCTACACATGAGGATATAAGAAGATGGTTCAAGTAAGAGAGATGTTTGTAAAGTTTTTGTTTCAAGTGTCTCTTCTTGAACTATCTCTAGAGAGGGAACACTAATCTCTCTAGAATCCTCTTGATTCCTAATTTTTAGAAGTTTTTTTTCCTTCTTTTTTATATTTTCCTCTCCTTTTTCTTGCTCATGTTTGGTCTTCATTTGTGCTTGATCTTCTATCACTTGGGAAGGTGATAGAGGATGAAATACAAACTTCTTACCCTTATGAGTGAAAGTTATTTTATTACTTAGGCCATCATGGTGGGTTTGTTTATCAAATTTCCATGGCCTACCCAACAAAATATGACAAGCCTCCATGGGAACTACATCACATTTGACTTTATCTTGATAGTTCCCAATGGAAAACTCTACTTCCACTTGTTGGTTAACCACCATATCTCCATCATTATTAAGCCATTGAAGTCGATAAGGTTTTGGATGGGGTGTGGTAGTTAATCCCAACTTTTCAACCATCCTAGTGCTACAACAATTGCACCAAGAACCACTATCCACAATGGAAATATTACACCTTGTGTTAAAAATGTTCTCTCTTTGGGATTGTGTATCACTAGGTTGATTATTGAGTACCCTTCTCATCATAAGAAGTTCCCCATTGTAAGGATAAGTAACCTCACATGATTGTTCCTCACTTGCTTCTTCTTCACCTTCACTTGAGGATGGAGAAGTAGTAGCTTCATCTTGGCTACTATAAATGTCTTGGCCCCTCAATATCATAACTTTTTTGTTAGGGCATTGAGAAGCAATGTGGCCTCTCCCAAGACATTTAAAGCATTTTATAATCACTAGATTTGGTGCTAGTGTGTGAGGTGTTTTTCTTTTCTTTTTCTTCTTTGGCTTTACCCTTGTCTAGATTTTTGGAGGAATTAAAAGTATTTTTCTTCTCAAAAGATTTTCCCTCCCTCTTGTAGTCATTCTTTGAATAAGAAGATGAGTATGAGCTTGTTTTGAAATTTTTCCTCAAATTTTGTTGTTCAACCTTGATGCAAAGTTGAACCAAATCATTCAAATCCCTATGAGGTAAAAGCTCAACTTTATCTCTTATTTCAAAAGTTAGACCACTCAAAAATCTAGCTATGGTAATGTCCTATTCTTCTCTAATGCCAGCCCTCATCAAATATAACTCCATGGTTTGTCTATATTCCTCAACAGTCATGTTCTTTTGATGGAGTCTTTGGAGCTTATTGATAAGCTCCCTAGTGTAGTATGAGGGAATGTGTCTCCTTCTCAAAGCACTCCTTAACTCATTCCAATATTGAATTGGAGGGTCATTATGGAGGCGCCTATCCCTAACAAGGGATGTCCACCAATACATGGCGTGGCCTTGGAAACTCAAGGTGGCAAGAGACACTTTTCTTTCTTCACTCACTTGATGGCAAGTGAAGATTTGTTCAACCTTCATTTCCCAATCAAGGTACCCCTCCGCATCATCCTTTCCATGAAAGTAAGGGAGATCTACCCTAGATTCCCTAGCTTTGGGGGTCCTATGTACTCTAGGAGGTTCTTGAAAATGATCTCCTAAGGCTAGGCTATCATCATGCATGAATTCTCCTATGGTTGAACTATAAACTTGAGAGCTATGTCTACTTCGGTGTCTATTGTGCAATTTTTCTTCTTTTTCCTTTAATAGACAAATTTCGTCTTCCAAAAGAGCAAGTTGAGCCTCTCTTTCAAGTTTTTCTTTAAGTCTAAGTTTAGCCTCTTGCTCTTTCCAAATCTTCAGTGATCTTAATTCATGTGCTACCTTTGAAATGTCATTGTAGTCACTTGAATTACTATCACTATGAGGAGTAGAAAATTCTTCCATTATAGGTGAAAGATTTTGTTTTATGAAAGACTTTTTGAAAGAAATTTTTAAAGGTTAAGACTAAGTACTTGGAGGACTAAGTATACAAATTGAAATTTGGAGGGAGGTGAGCTACTAAGAGCCACTTAATAACCAAGCCTCTTCAAGTAAAAATTACTAATCCCCCTTGTAGTTAATCCTCACCTAAAATCTTTTCAATGAAAATATTTTTCTGATTTTGATGTGATGACTAAGCTAGACAACGTAAGTAATTAAAGACAAAACAACTTGCAAGAATTTAAAACTATCTAACGGATCCCTAAGGTGAAAGCTTGAGAGGTACCAAAGACCAATCAAGGACCACTTCCACCAAGTCTAGCGAAAATTAGGGTTCTTAAAGGAGAGATGGTTGTGTACCAAAGACACTCCCAAGACACTCCAAAAATGGCCAATTACAAATGAAATAAATGCTGGACAGAAAAGTAAACAAGTGGCTTTCAATGAAACAAAAACAGCCACCAAGTTTAGTGATGAAATTAGAGACCACTTTTGTAAGGAAAATTCAAATTAATGATGGAAAATTGGTCTCTAAATCCGTCACTAATACTCTATTTTTTTTTAAATCAATACAATTTGAATTATTTCTCCAATGGATCTTCACGGCTTTGTAAGGTGTAGCAGCCACAAAAATTTCCAGCAACTTGAAGTGTTTGGTGTTTGTTTTAGTAGCCACCCGAAATGGTCTCCTTTGTCACCTTTCCTCCTCTTTATCTTAGCCCTCTTTTGATGACCCTTGTAGAACTAGTTTCTATTGAGATAGATTAGGTCAACACTAGGCCACCCTTTGAATTCAATGTTAACCCAAACAGCCAAGACAATATAGAGATAACCAAGACAAGAGTTGAGTAGAAGAGTAAACAATTTAGATGAACAAAGAAATTGATTAGGCTAGTACAAGAAGGAAGAATCCTGGATAGGTTCTAGAATTTGAATAACAAATCAAAAACACTCAAAATTTGCAAGCTGAAAATGTATGTTACTCAAGCTACACAATAGCAAACCGAGAAGCACAAACCAAAACAATACAATCTCCTTTTTGGCTTTTAACTTGAAAATTAGGTTTGAATATTTTTTTTTAATCAAATTTATTTTTGAATTTTCTTTTGAACTTTTGTTCTATATTTTTTTTTATATATAGGGGATGCCTTTTACCTCTTTTGAATTTTGAAATCTCAACTCTCGGTCACTACTTCTCAAAGCACTAAAACCGGTTTCAAAATTTGAATGCAAATGACACTCAAATTAGGTAAAAACGTAATGAAATTTGAACATGCTTTTGTCACTTTTTTTTCTTTAATCACATGCAACGGTTTTACCTCCAAATGTGAATTTCAAAATTTTCTAAACAAAATTTTTTCAACAACCAAAAGATATTCAAAATCAAACTCACGGAATTGGCACAAAATTTTGAAGACAATTTGTATCAAAGGAAACCTAAAAAATAACTAAGAAAACTACTACTGATCTAATAGTAGTTTATGAACTCAAATCAAAACAAAAATTATGGAGCACACTAAACCAAATTTATTCGGCCAAATCCAGAAAAATTCAAAAACAATTAACACAAAAAAGTGAAACAAGCATAGCTAGGAATTAAAAACAATCAAAGAACTACACATGACACTAGACATAGAATTCAAAAATTAAAAGATTCGAACAATCAATTGACTGAAAATTTTCAAGTAAGACTCAAGAAAACAAAAAGTTCATAAGCTGAATTTTCCTAGAAGCATAATTTGTGGAGCATGATTCATGGAAAGAAATTAAAACAAAAATCATATATGAATCATTCAAGCAATCCGAAAGCTAGATCCATCAAATTTTAGACAAGAATTAGATCTAGGAAGGAATCAACTCAAAAATGACATAGACACAAATATTTCATACGGATCAAACAATCAATCAAAAGACAAGGAACTTATCTCTTGAAGACCGAGCTCTAGATACCACTTGATGAGGTTCTTCTTGAAGAAAACCTCAAAGAATGCTTCATCAACCTCTTCTCGGATCCTTGGAAGGATGGCAAGGATTTGAAGCACCGAAAAGAAGCAAGTGTAGCCAAGACTCACTTAGCTATCTCGGATAGAAGATGAAGGTGCCTAACTCTACAAGGAGAGGATCTCAAGTAGCGTAGAGAAAGGTTTAGAGAGACTTTCGGAGGAGAGAACTTCAAAGAGTAAATTCTCATTCAATAATTCCAAAAGTGATACAAGACTCGGCCAAGGGTGAATTTATAGGGAAAACTTGGGTTATGGTGCACGTTGGCTTAACCTAATGTTAAGTGAAACCATGGTATGGTTTACTCAACCTTAGGCGCCAAAATTTGAATTCAAATATTCAAATTTTGGTGCAAACCGGTCAGCTCCCCCATGTGCACTCATTTGGATGTAATTTGGTATCCATTTGAGTAGCATTTCGATCACACAATGTGCATGTGTGCACATGAGCAAAATGCATACTAAATGCCATACTAATTACATGCAAATGAATATGCACATGCTAACCTAGATTAACCCTAAATTCACATTGGCATGAAATGCAAATCCTAATCTAGGTGGCCGAAAATACAAGGCCTAAAATGTAATACAAGCCCTAAGGCCCAAACCTACACTACTAATCTACTTGGGCTTGAGTCAAAGCCCAACTGAAAAGTACGATGGGCTTTTCTTGAGCATGGGCCCACTCTTCTTGAATCCTCTTAGCCATAGCCCTAGTAGTTGGGTCCTTGGCCCATGGGCCTCCTCCATCAGTGAAGCTGGCGGGCCAGGAGTGATCGAGAATACTTTGAGAACCATAAGTGTTTTAAAAATACTAGCATTGGTGAGTGAAGCTGGCGGGCTAGGAGTGGTCGAGAATACTTGGAGAACTAGAAGTGGTTTAAGAATACTAGCGTTGGTGAGTGAAGCCTAATTTGGAACGGGTCGTTATGAAATTGGAACGGGCCGTTCCTAATTTGGAACGGGTCGTTCCCATATTGGAACGGTCCGTTCCTAAACCAAAACGGACCGTTCCAAACTTCTAAAAAAGCCTAAGAAACTTAGTTTGGAACGGGCCATTCTAGCAAGGAATTTTATGTGTTAATCTCAACTCTAGAATGGGCTGTTCTGATTTTAGAACGGGCCGTTCTGGGGTAAGAATTTTACACATAACATTCATATCCAGAACAGGCTGTTCTGAATTTAGAACAGGCCGTTCGGGACTGTTTTTGATGCCTATAAATAGATAGCTTGGGCACAATTCTCAGGAACCCCCAAAATTTTGTCCAGACTCCTTAAAGCTCAAAATTTCTCTCTTTTTCTCTCTTCCTCTCTCTTTTGTATTTCTTGAGATTTTGGGAGGCATTGTAGTGTGAAAGGTTAAAGCACCTAAAATCTCCATAATTGAAGATCTAATAAAGCTTGCCACGAGGTACTACTCATCAATCTCTTGTTCTATCTTTTTCTTCTTTTATTTTATATATTGCTATAATAAACGCAATTATGTAGATATCTTAGGATTCACCATGTAATTTAATTTTCATGTAAATAATCATTAATAAAGGGGATTAAATATTTTAATTATTAATTCTTATTACGTTATCTTCATCATAGGGTACCTATTTAGGGCATTGTAGGGGTGCTTAATACCTTCCCTACTATTCAAACGAACCCAATTCTAGTTATCAAGACCATTATTGGACTTTTAAAAACCTTTTCTTTTTCTAATGTTTTGAGTAAAACATTGGTGGCGACTCCATGAACCTATTTTTAAAACCATTAATTAAGGATTAGTCTGGTGTCTGGGCATTCCTTAATTGATGAGACTTTAAGGGATGTTTAAACCATTAGTCGCGAGATCGAAAATTTTTGAGTTGCGAAAGGCACTTATCCTTAAACGAAACCATTTTGAAAAGGAAATGTAAGAACTTCAATTAATACCTTTATAGAACATTTTCCCTAGTGGACGATAAATCTTTCAGACCCATTGATAGTAAGTTAAGCAAACTCTGGTTAATCATCTGATATTCAAAAGTGTAGTGGATGAAGAACACTACCATTGCGAAAAAGTTATAAAATACCTTTGTCCATACATTGTCTTCATCTGCTAAGCTCATGCATTGTCTTCATTACATAGTATCTGATGAGATTCATGCAGTGGTGAATCAACTCAAACTTGGAGAATGAAGGTTTTGATGATAACAAAGTATGGATTCTAAGAATCAAAGCTGACCAAGGACATCAACAAGTCAAAAACAAAGTCAAGAAGAAAATATGGCTATTATGTTGTGTAATAGGAGTAGCTCATAAGTTGTATTATTTTGTTGAGCTAATTTTGCATGTGTGTGTGCTTTGTGCATGGGTTAATCTTTATCTAATCTAACTAAGAGTGAGTATGATGATGAGTTAGAAACTTGAAAAGTTATTTTGAGACATAAAACAGTTTTTGAAAACTGACTCAAAATAATCGATTATCATTAAATATAATTGATTATTCCAGCAACAGGTGAAAAGGATGCCTTGTTGTAATAATCGATTATTTGTGAAATAATCGATTATTCCAGGAATCACTCTCTGGAATAATCGATTATCCTGCAAAATAAGCGATTAATCTGTTCATCATTGATTTCCAGAAATCGTGAAGAACAAAATAATTGATTATCCTTTAAAATAATCGATTATCTGGTTTTGAAAATGTTATAAATAGTTTTCACATTTTGAAACTTCAGAACAAGATAGAAAAAGATAGAATAGAGAATCAAAAAGAAAAAAAACGTTATTGTGAAGTCTTTGTGACCTTCTTGGAGTGTTTTTTTTATGAAACCAAGTAAAACGTTTTTGAAATGCTTTTAGAAAAGATCATCATCATCATCAAATTCTTGAAAGAGAAGGATTAAGATTTGCTTATGAGTTCACTATCTGATTTGTTCAGTTTCCAGGTGAATTCGTTCCTTTAATTCTTTGGGAATAATTGTAAATCTTGAGTAGGTGTCTCAAGTGGTAAGGAATTCTTGTAGTGGGTTTCAACAAGAGGTGCTTTCTTTGGGTCAAGAAAGTGGGTATCTTGAATGTAAGAGTGTATGCATGTGTGGTATGCTTGTAAAACTTCTTCATTAAGATAGTAGAACAAATCTTGATCAGGTTATGATTGAGGACTACATGTAGGTCACATGTGGAGTGGCTGAACTAGGATAAAAGACTTGTGCAATCTTTTCTTACCCTTATCTTTTACTTTGAACAATATCTTGGTTGTGTGTGAAAGGGAATAATCTTGATTAACATCTTTGTATGCACAACATTGCTTTAAACTGAATCAAAGTATTTCATATTGATTGCTCTTAACTTTGGAGTTTAATAAAGATTAATCAAGAAAGCATATAGGACTCATTTTCACTAACAAGTCTTTTAAGGAACTTTTTTGAAAATTCATATTAGAAAACTTTGAATTGAAATAAAGATCCTACCAACTCTAAAAAATTTTAAAGTGTCATAGACTCCAATTCACCCCCCTCTTGGATTGAGCCATTCTTTTCTAACAATTGGTATCTAGAGCAAGGTTCTTGAGAGTTATTCAAGATTTCAAAAATGGCCAACAACAACCTACCTTATGGTCAGATAATTGATTATTTTTATAATCGATTATCTGGAACAATCGATTATTTGGGAAATAATCAATTATCTGGGCGAGTTAGAGGAAATGACCCTCTGGAATAATCAATTATTCGAAAAATAATCGATTCTTTAGTGCAGAAAGGCTTTTTCAAAGGATTTTACTGATACAAATAATCAATTATTTGTATAGATAATAGATTATTTGTGTGGCCCTTGGTTTTCCAGATGGTTTTTGAACGGTTTTATTCGCGCCAACCTCCAACTTCCCACTACTCTTCATTTGTGGAACTTCTCCTCTACCCCAAACCGGTGCTAGGGATTTTATAACTTCCAAAGCCTCTTATTTTTCATAAACCCACATTTTCTAAACTCTCAAACCCTAACACACTCATTTTCTTCATCTTCTTCATCTTCTTCATCTCCACCAAAGAACCAATCTTTAACCTAACAATGGCTTCATCTTCCAAAAGGCCAAAGAAGCTAGAAGTCAGGGGGAGCAAACGTCCTCTACCCACAGAGAAACTCATCTCCAAGTGGTTTGCTGATGAGAAGACCCAAAAGTATTATTTTGAATGGTTTGCGGGTAGAATAATCATCCCTCCTAAGACCTTGAAGCTAGAATGGTTCAAGATTGAGGGGTTTAGCTTTCCTCCTCTCTTGGAACACCAGGAACTTGGGAAGTTCTTGGAGCTAGAAGGACTCTATTACCCTGAGCTTATAAGGCTATTCTTATGCTTTGCCTCAAGCAATGAAGAGATAATGCAATCGGTGGTAAAGGGCAAGCTTATAAAGCTTGATGGTCCAACTTTGAAGGAAGCTGTCGGGCTGAGCGGAGATGGGAGTACAAAGCTCCAACCCTTCAACTTTGGAGACTTCGAGGAGTTGACAACTTTCAGAGACTATTAGAGGAACCTGGAGACCACCAACTATACAAAATTTATGGCCGGAGGTATGAAGAAAAATTCACGCTTAATTTCCTTTCTCATAGCTTGGTTGATTAAGCCTCGGTTGCATAATCATGCTCAAATGTCAAGGGATGACATTTTGCTGACGCATGTAATCAAGAAAAAAATTAAAATAGATTACGTGTCTGTGGTGAACGACTGTATGTGGAAGGCTAGGAGGAAGGAGGATGGTCCAATACCATATGCTTTGTTATTATCTAGAATTTTTGAGAAAGAAGGTGTGGATCTGAAAGGGGAGAAAAAGATAATTCTCCATGCCTCGAATAAGATTGAAAAATCTTCCTTGCATCATATGGGAATGTTGAAACAGGAATACAAATGGGTATTCAAGGAAGATGTCCCTCTGACTCCTGAACCTGCAACTGATGAAGATGGCGTTCCATCTCATGATGAAGATCAACCGCCACAAGTAGAAGTTGAACCTGAAAGGGAACAAGAATCGGAGCCAAAAGCATTCTCTCCATTTGAGCATATTATGATTAACAAGCTAGATGTGGTAATGGAGATGTCTAGGAGGCACGAGTCAATTTATTCGGGTATTCTTGATCGGTTTGATAACCTTGGTCATGAGATTAATCGAATTAAGGCTCAGCTTGGGATGCCAAAATACTCGGAGTGATTTTAGTGCTTTAGTGTTAAGTTCTAATTTTAGGAGTTTAGTTTAAATTTTTGTTTTTCAACTGGGTGGTAATTGGTTTAATTTTCGAACAATTATGTTGGTTTATTTTGTTGAACAATTTAAATTCTGATGCAATGTGAGTTTTATTGTGGTTATATTGTGATTTGATAATTTTGCTTTGGATGATTGATTGTGTTATGTTCTGTTTTTGAATATTGATATGTGATAGTGTTGCTTCATATATGTTGGTGTTTGCTGGTATATTTGATAATGCTATATTCTGTTTTGAACATTGAAATGTAATGCATATTTGTGATATTTGCTGATGGTATGATGTTTTGTTGATGAATCATATGGTTGAGATATTGTGACTAAAGATCACTTGATATGGAAAAATTTCCTGATCACAAATTTTGGTATTAATTGATTGGAACAATGCCTATGTTGAAACTTCAGAACAAGATAGAAGAAGTTAGAATAGAGAATCAAAAAGAAAAAACGTTATTATGAAGTCTTTGTGACCTTCTTGGAGTGTTTTCTTTGTGAAACCAAGAAGTAAAAAGTTTTTGAAATGCTTTGAGAAAAGATCATCATCATCATCACGTTCTTGAAAGAGAAGGATTAAGATTTTCTTTTGAGTTCACTATTTGATTTGTTCAGTTTCGAGGTGAAATAGTTCCTTTAATTCTTTGTGAATAATTGTAAATCTTGAGTAGGTGTCTCAAATGGTAAGGAATTCTTGTAGTGGGTTTCTACAAGAGGTGTTTTCTTGGAGTCAAGAAAGTGGTTATCTTGAATGTAGGAGTGTATGCATGTGTGGTATGCTTGTAAAACTTCTTCATTGAGATAGTGGAACAAATCTTGATCAGGTTATGATTGAGGACTGCATGTAGGTCACATGTGGAGTGGCTGAACCAGGATAAAAGACTTGTGAAATTCTCTTACCCTTATCTTTTAATTTGAACAATATCTTGGTTGTGTGTGAAAGAGAATAATCTTGATTAACATGTTTGTATGCACAACATTGCTTTAAACTGAATCAAAGTATTGCATATTGATTGCTCTTAACTTTGGAGTTTATTAAAGATTAATCAAGAAAGCATATAGGACTCATTTTCACTAACAAGTCTTTTAAGGAACTTCTTTGAAATTTCATATTAGAAAAGTTTGAATTGAAATAAAGATCCTAAGAACTCTGAAAAATTTTAAAGTGTCATAGAATCCAATTCACCCTCCCTCTTGGATTGAGCCATTCTTTTCTAACAATATCTACACCCATAGTTTCCTTTTTGTTTATAAGACTACAAAAAGAGCATAAAATCAATTTCAATAGTAATGATAATTCAAAACAAAACACCCTAAATAATATTATTGTTGGAATTAAAATACCTTACTTTAGGAGAGATCCAACTCATTTTTTTCTTTAACTTTAAACCCTTTATCATATGATACCCTTCAGTTTTAAACTTTATGTAAAACATGTTACACAAATAGACTTCTAGATCATTTCCATCTTTTAAACAGGTAAGACTTTATAAGAATTGTAACACATAAACCAATTAATCGCCCAAAGTTTAACCTATTTCAATGTTTAGTAGGCACCAACAACACCAATATCAAAATAGAAATTAAATATTCTATACATTAATCCGGTAAAGAATTTTTATATTGACATTCTATCAAAATTAGTTATAATATATAACCATTGAACTTGTATAAAAATAAGTAAGAATTTGGTTTTGTTTTTAATGCAAAAATACAAGTAAGCAAATATGCCCATGTCTAGCATAAAACAATTCTCCCTTACTAGTCATAATGTTTAGCCAAACTAGCACATTCAAAATGATCATGGTGTTGTCAACATAGGCAAGCAATTACATTGTGTTCATCCCATTTATCCACATTCACATAAAAAATACTAAAATTCTTTAATATAATTAAATTAAAAGTGAGTATTTAATTAAAAATGGGAACGGGGACGGGTATGGGTACGGGTACGGGGCGGGTAAGTACATACCCGTACCTGATTTAATATATCGGGTTTTACCCGTACCCGTACTCGTACCCGGTCAAACCGGGTATTCCCCGTCAAAGTCGGGACGGGTTCGGGTATTACCCACGGGTACGGGTATATTTGCCATCCCTACCACCAATGCATCACTACTCCCATAATTTTTTTTTTTAAAAAAAAAAAGATGCATAAAATGTTTAGCAGAAAATTTAATGTGAAAATCAAATCCAACAATTTTATTGTGATACACAAACATAGGTAGAGATACATCATAACTAACATACTTTAAAAATAATCAAAAAGAAAAAATATGTGCAAGAATAAAAAAGATATAAAGTTTTCCCTGATAGTGGTACCCATAATTTCAACTTTTCATCGTCAAGGTCAATCAAGGACATCACTACTAGAAGGATTTTATTCTAAGTCGGTTATTTTGCCATATCTACATTGGTTCTACAACTAACTTAGATGAGAGCGACGTAGATGAATGAACATATCTATGTCGGTTCCTTAAAACTGACTTAGATCTACGTGTTAATCTAAGTCAATTTTTACTAAAAACTATCTTAGATGTACATGTACATCTAAGTTGGTTTGTAATAAAAACCGTTTTTGATGTACACATACATCTAAGTCAGTTTTTAGTAAAACAGTCTTAAATATGCACATACATCTAAGTCAGTTTTTAATAAAAATCATCTTAGATGTACCCATATATCTAAGTTAGTTTTCATGTAATTGTCTTAGATGTACACATACATGTAATCTAAGTCGATTTTTAAATATAACCATTGTAGATTGTATTTTTTTAACCAGTTTAATTTTTAAAATACTGTAAAAACTAATTCAATTATCCAAATCAAAATCCATCATGAACTAAGAAAGGCCAATCTGGGATCCTTATCATTATAGGAATGACTCAATTACATCATTATCATTATATAATATATAATACTAGAGAAGCCATATACTCAAAAATCAAGAGAGGCCAATTTGGGATCCATAAAGAAGAGTTTTTTTGTTACAAGGAGAAGAGAAGCTCAAAAAAATTACGTCACACTAAATTAGACATGCACTTGGCAGCTTAATGCTGAAGCCACATTCACCTATTTCTAAATTTTACATGTAATACTAGACCTTTCAACATGGTGTATTTCTAAATTTTTCTAAATTTGTACATCTATAACATACAAATTCCTCCATTTTCATGTTCCTAACCAAAGTCTATACCATTAGGAAAGGAAAATTATAAGCCTTGTCTAAGGACCAAGTAGAGTCCATTACAATCTTTTTTGTATAAAATATATAATATTAAAAAGTTTCTTATAACTAAATAAACATCATAATAGAAATCATTAATTGTAGCTGATGCAAAAATAGAGCAAAGATTGTACCTGAATTCATATTTTTATTAGAGGTGCGAGAATTCTGACTTTAGTGTATACATCAGACACAATAGAGTACAGTGAAATTTTATCTTCCAACTTCTAATTAGAATCTCCAACCTGTGTCACCAATGATTTCCCAATTAAATTACTATCAATCAACTATAGAATTCTGCACTTTAATCTCAAATATTTATATTTCCTCTTCATCCATACAAAATCATTAAGGAAAGACGTGGCAAACGAAGAATGAAGAAAAAAATAATATAAACACATCACAACATTAATGTGCTCAAATAGACCAAATAGATAACATAACCTTTTGGAAACATAGATGGATTAGGGTAGAGCATAATGCAAATACCTTAGGGGAAAGAGGTGGAGAACAAAGAGCGATTGAAATTAACAAAAAGTAGAGGGAATACGAATGAAGGATGAACACGAATGGGAAACCACTAAAGCATGATGGCCACGATGAGAGAGAAATCTGATAACACAAATTGGAGGTGATGGCCACGGTGACGAGCCTCGACGGAGGAATGAGAGAGATCGCAACCATGAAAAAGAAAAGTTAGTAGGTGTGATAGAGAGGAGACTAGAACCGAAGCAAGAGACAGAAGGTGGTGGAGGCGTAAAGGAGTAGAAAGTGGAGGGGCGCGAGAGAGACATTAGGTCTCCTTATAGCAATAATATATTTAAGATCTTTTAAAATTACGTGTTTAAGAACCGATCTTGTATATCACTTTTAAAATTGGTTCTACTTATAACCTATCTTAAAAGTTGTATCAGACACACCTTTTAAAATCAGTATTAGAAGAATCGATCTTAAAAATTGTAACATTATTTACAAAATTGCCACTGCATCACTTTTAAGATCGGCTTCCTCTTAACCGATTTTAAAATTAAATTTTGTACTAGAGATTTAACCCAAAAAATGATGTTAATCATTCAATATACAAAAACATGTAAAGAAAAATAGATATCCAAATAGATATTCAACCTAATATTTGAGGAAATGCTATGCGTTGACGCTGCAAAACCTAACCTTAACAAGTATCTCAAACCTAGTCATTGTCGTACACTCCCAAGAGAACGAGATTTGCCTCATCCATAATGAGAATGTTAGCTGAACTTGAGGGTTCAGGAAACATTACAAGAAAAATCAGCATTACCTATGGAAATTTCAGTAGATAATCATGAAAATCCATAGGAAACTGTCAATTATCTATGGATCATCTACAGAAAAAAAATCCGTAGGTAACAAGGTCGTAGATAACGTTATCTACAAAATTTTTTGTAGATAACGTTTGTAGACACCCAATTTCGTCCGGGGGGCATACAAATAACAAGATAGGACATCAGAGGGCCCAAAGGCCCAAACCAATTTTTTAGTGGCCCGGAACGGGCCGTTCCTAAGTCCGGAACGGGCCGTTCTCAATCAGAACGGGCCGTTCTGGGCTTCTAAAAACCCTAAAAAAATATAGGTTGGAACGGGCCGTTCTAGACCAGAACGG